CATTTTCAATAAAACTGATGTTTTGTTCAGAGTTCAGACAAATGTAAAAATCCACCTATGTTTTACCCTGCAAACACGCAGAGCTTTAAATGTGAACTGGTGGATCGATAAGAAGACAATGCATTATAAAAATCTAAACAGAATAGGGGTGTGCGATATGTATGGTCTGCGATAATATCGTAATAATTGTTTTAACGATGTACGATTTGATATTGTCGAGTATAACGCGAAAAGCAAACAAAACACACCTACAGAGTGCACGCATACATTAGGTGATGAAGTCTAGTAAATTAAAGGGTTAGTTCACCTAAAAATGAAAATTCTGTCATTAATTACTCACCATCATGTTGTTCCAAACCCGTAAGAACTTTGTTCATCTTCGGAACACAAATTAAGATATTTTTGATGGAATCTGAGAGCTCTACCAAGATCAACGCACAGAAACGTAGCAAGGACGTCAGTAAAATAGTTCATGTGACATCAGGGTTTCAACTGTAATTTTACGAAGCTACGAGAATACTTTTTGTGTGCAAAGAAAACAACACAATTTATTCAGCAATTCTTCTCCCCGAGTTACCGTCTTCCGCCATTTTGGAGAGTACCCCAGAACATAATCAACGTAATCAGCGTTGTTTACGTTCAGTAGACAGTGCGCGCATGCTGAACGTAAACAACGCTGGTTATGTTGATAATTATCTGTATTGATAAAATCCCAGAAAATTATCGAGATATATTTTTTAGTCAATATCGCACACCCCCAATTTATTTAATTTATCATTTTTAAATTTTATATTTATAATTTTATCAAACTTTTTGTTTTTGTGAAAACTTGTATATGAACTGTAAATTATGCTATTTACAGTAATTTTACAGTTTAATATGGTACTATAGACATTGCCCTACCCCGCTCATATGGTATTAATTTTATTTGTGCATGTCTTAAAAAAAGGTCTTAAAGTCTTAAATTTGAGCTTAAAAATCCTGCAGAAACCCTGGAATAGTATGCAAGCGTTCTGAACGCGTGGAATACCTGGATTTGCCTAAATCCATTCTACCGGTATGTGGTATATTGGAATGCGCTCCACTTGATCTTCTATATCCATAGTGAGATATGCAATAGAGGTAGAAGTATATCTTATAAAAAGTATAAAGTATGTAAGTATGTCTTTGAAAATATATTAAAATGTAATTTATTCCTGTAAAGTCAAAGCTGAATTTTCAGCATTATTACTCCAGTCTTCAGTGTCACGTGATCCTTCAGAAATCAAATACGCTGATTTGATGCTCAAGAAACGTTTCAATGTCTTTACTGTCAATTTTAATGCATTCTTGCTGAATACAAATATAAATTTTACACACACATGCAGATTATTTCTTTTATTAGATGAGTTAAATTAAGAAATTTTTAGATACTACTTGTGTACACAATTGTATTGAAGTCAACAATGTATCATCGTTTTGTACTACAGAGTATGCTGTTAAGTTAGCAGTACTCCATTCTGAACGTGTCCCAGTGTCTTTATGCTCTCCCGATTAACCCAAAAGTCTTGATACATGATGATCATCGTGTCTGGAGCTTAAGCACTTTGGCAGCGGCAGTGACTTAGCAGTGATGTGTTTGCTGGAGGAGTGTTTTCTGTACCTCGTTAATGAAATGAGATGTTGCATCTAATGAGGAGTTGTATTCTTTAGGTTGCACTGTCAGCATGGGCCTGTGTGTGTGTCTGTTCTCAGGTTGCAGTGGTTGCAGAACCGAGCAGTTTGTTATGCTCTTAAGTGTGTGTGTCTTTTCAATTCCTCTGATTGTCTGTCAGGCTGCAGACCAGGATCGCAGTGCGTGGAGTGGAGCAGCTGGCAGTAGGGGGCAGGATGGTGTACTCCACCTGCTCTCTGAACCCCATCGAGGATGAAGCCGTCATCGCTGCTCTGCTGGAGAAGAGTGAAGGTATGTCTGCTGTCCTCTGGCTTCTGGCTCATAAAAAGGTTTCTGCCCCGTTTCATTCAAAGAGAGAAATATATTTTGCATAAAGAAAATCAAGCTTTATTTTAGGACCTTTTTTATTAAATTTTTTAATTTGAATTTATCACAATATTTTCATGATAGTTAAGCACATTTTCACCCCAGTTCTTATTACCATAATATAGCTTTTAAGTGTTTCCTTCTTTTTTTTTCCTCATTATGTGGCTTTTTTTTTTGACTTTCTGCAATAAAATAATTTTAAATCTGCAAATATAAAAATGAATAAATATGTATGTGTGAGTAGTTTCCTGAGCAGTGTTATTTTAGTATAATTAACATGCTGTTATAAATTGAGTTTAATTTATATTTCTGTTTTAACTTTACTATTGAAGTTTTAGTAATTTTGTTGTGGTGTTGTCATTATGAATAAAAATGGCTATGGAGTTTTTATGAATTTATTTTATTTAGTTTTAGTTAATGTAGTACTTCAAGTTAAACTAATCATTTAGTTAATATTCATTTTGCTTGAAGTATTTTTTTTTTAATTATTTTAGTTGAAGATGATAACCCTGTTCTTGAGATTTACCCTTATATAAGTTTCAACTCTTTGGTGTGTTGTGTCTTTCTATTAAAATAAAGATCAAAACCTGTGGGAAATACGATTTTTCAATCAAACAGTGTATTTTCAAGCATTAAGCTGAATGTATTATTCTTATCATTTCTCCTTCATCTTCTGCTTTTTCTGATCTCACTCTCCTGTGGTGGTTTCTTCACTCGTTTATTTCTCAGGTGCTTTAGAGTTAGCAGATGCCTCTGCAGATCTCCCAGGACTCAAATATATGCCTGGAATTACATCTTGGAAGGTAATTAAGCATTAACCTCCACTCTCTGACATCAATTTCTTTCTGTACTGTTTCTGCTTATGAATGTTGAGTTTTCCCTGGTTTATGTCTTTTGCGTTAGCGCAGTCATTAACTGCAGCAAGGGCATTAAACTATAGGTAACAGAAGTCCTCACTGGAGTGACGCCCACAGTAAAGCTCTTTTGATAATTCAAGATATCTTGGTAACATTATTAAAATTAACATGCCTACACTCGTGATAGCCTCCCTAACCAAACTGAAAGTAATCGGATCTTGTACTCTGGTTTCATATTGTAAAGTTCAGACAGTGATGCAGAGTGAACATGACATGTGGTTGGCAACTTGGAGGCTTGTCTTTAAAGGAGACCTATTATGCCCCTTTTTACAAGATGTAATATTAGTCTCAGATGTCCCCAGAATGTGTCAATGACGTTTCAGCTCAAAATAACCCACAGATCATTTATTATATCATTTGAAAATGCCTAATTTGAGTGAAAGCAGAAGCACGCTGTTTTTTTGCATGTCTCTTTAAATGCAAAAGCGCTGCTGTTCCCCGCCCCCTTTTCCAGAATAGGGCTGTGCCTTTACAGATTGTACCTCAGATACTCTGCTAAAAAAAAAAAAAAAACGGATGTTTTTTT